CAGCCACCCCGAGCTGCCACAGGGGCTGGACCCCAATCCTCCCCTCCTGGCCATGGCACATGGGAAGTGCCACCATGCCTCACCTTGGAAAAGGTACCCCCAGTACAACCAGCAGCGGTAGCTGGTCTCCACAGCCAGGGAGCTGGTGGAGATGATGTAGACCATGAGCATCATGAATTTGCAGCTGCCCAGCAGCCTGCACAGGGGGGCACAGAACTTGGTGTCCTTTCTCCTGTAAGAAACAACAGTGGAGCTGGAGGGAGCTCTTGCTGCCTGTTTCTGCTGGTTGGAACAAAGCATTTGGAACAAGATGATCTTTAAGGTCCCTTCCAACCCAAACCATTCTATGATTCTGTGATTCTCTGACCCACCCCAGCAGCTGGACCCGTCTGGAGATCCTGCTCCTGTCCAAGTCCTCCCTTCACCCAGGCTGAACCAGACCCCAACGAGCAGGTCTCACAGCGTACACCTCACCTGGGGGTACCAAAAGGTTTTGCTCCATGTGTTCTTGAGACAGCAGAAGGGAGCACACCTTGCAACAGCCTCCAACAGACACTGGAAGGACCTAGTAAGAAAATTGGAGGTGACTCATCCATTCTGGGAAGGGTCTGGATGCTCCATGTGCTGCTTCTCTGATCGCTCCATGAACTAGCCAGGTGCTCCTTGGCTTCCTCGAGTCACCATCCCTGGAGATATTCAAAAGACAGGTAGATATGGTGCTGAGGGACATGGTTTGGTGATGGTTTTTGTCAGTGTTAGGTTGATGGTTGGACTAGATGATCTGAAAGGTCCCTTCCAACCCTGGCAATTCTATGATTCTATGACTCTTGACGCAGGCAGGGACCTGCTGTTTGATGTCACCTTATGAAGTCACTTCCAGATAAAGAAACCACACGGGCAAGTGCCAGGGCCAAGGCCTGGATAAAGAGCACTTCTGCATTAGCAGTAAAACAAGCAGATGCTGATTATTCTTAATTAACTGGGTTTGTACTGCTGAGTGATTCAGGCAAACACCTGCTACTCCCTGGGGGAGGAGATGAGCTGGGGTGATGCTGGGTGGGTGCTGAGCCCCATCCCTCCTGGGGGAACGTCCCGTCTCGGTGTTGGGGTGGGAGGAGCAGGCGGTGAAATGCTGCCAACCCCGAAGAGGGGCTTTACACCATCCTGTCACCCCAGCACTAGTGTCTAACAGCAAAAACCCACTGAGCACAGCCACCACGAGGTGTGCAGTTGAACTTTGGGGGGGGGTTAATCCTCCTTCGTGCACCCACCACTGGTCTGGAAACAGGCAGGAGCCCCAAGCACAGACCTCTGCTCTTCCTGGGGACCCTTCCCAGGGCTCCAGCATCCCCACAGCCTGCAGGGGCTGGTCTGGCTCTGACCAGAGGACCGCTGGCAGCCGTGCCTGGACTCTTCCCAAAGTTCATTTGCGAACGAGTTGTTAGTTCCTCACCAAAGGGTCCAGCCCTGCAACAGATCTCCAGCGCCAGCAGCGCTAAGATAAACACGGCCTTTGATGTCGGCGGGATAACTCACATCCATGTTTGCTTTTCGCCTTGTTTCTTTCAGGGAGAGGCTATTAACAATTGCCAATTTATTTCAATTAGTCAGCATCTCTCTGCTTGCTAGTCTGCGAGCACTTGTTCCAGGACACACACATGTTTGGCGGATCCCGAGGTGCAGCTTGGAGCAAGCCACAAATATTTGTTTCTTGGAGGAAAACCACTGTGAAAAACCAAAACGAGCTCGTGCAGAAGAAGAACTCATTAGCTTCAGTTAATTGGCAATCCCTTCATTAACCTGAGGCTGGCAAGGCCAGAGGAGATGCACACACCTGTCAGGAGCTGCAGAAAGCTCAAGTCTTTTTGAAATGGTGTTTTTGCAGGATTAAAAAGCACCCGCGGAGGAGGGAAAGGCTGAGCAGGGATTGGGGCAAACCCAGAAATTGTGCTCGTCACCGAAACCCGGGGATGCTCCAAGCATCCCTGACCCAGGGCCAAGCCATCTGGGGGACATAAACCAACAGAAAACTCCAGTCCAATGGGATCCACCCTGGGGTTTTGCTCTGCTGATCCTCCAGGGCTCCAGGTGGGGCTGATGCAGAGCCAGTGGCCACCAGCACAGCAGCCTGAACACGTCCCAGGGGATGCTGTGACCCCTCCAGCCCCATCCTGGAGCTGGGGACGTGTCAAAGACAGGGAAACACCTGAAAAACAACCATGTCAGTCTGTTCTTCCAGCCTCGAGAAGCAGCTGGGTGAGGACACGTCCTCATTACCTTCCTAATGTCCAAACCACCCCTGATGAGAGAGGTTAATTAATAGAAAACCCACATCTTCATCAGCCACTCCATCACCACTCCTTATGCACCACTCTGGGCAGCAGGAGGAGGAGGAGGAAAGGCAGGAGGAATCCCAGTGTGGTTGGATGGAGCCCTAACTCACAAACCAAGACAGAGAAGCTTATTTTCCAACACGTTCCTGCAGACCTGCCTGTGGAACCCCGTCCCCAGAGCCCTGGATGCCGCCGTCGCCCCTTCCAATATGATTTTTGCAGTTTACTGGACCTGAGCTCCTGTTTTGGGGGAAGGAAAGGATTATTGGCTGGCTGCGTTTCAGAGAGGGCCCTGGGAAGGTGTGATCTCCAGCCTCGCGGGGCCCGAGCAGCGATCCCAACCACGCAGCACGCTGCCGGCGTCGTTCCTGCTCTGCTCTCTCAGCCTCGAGCTTGTGCTTTTTAATTTCCTGTGGCCACAGAGCACCATCGGAGGGAGGGTCTCCCAGGGCTGGCGTTTCCCACATGCCATGGACTGGGTTGGTGGTGGTGGGGAACACACTGAGTTAAAGCAATCCTGACATAGGGAAGTTACCTGCAAGGAGAAGGCTGTTCCGTGATGGATTATCTAAATACTTCAAGCCACAATGAGCCTTAAAGCAAAAATAAAACCACCCCAAAGAAGATACTCCAGGGGAATATTTAACCTGGTGGCTGCAGCCATGAGAGGTGAACAGGGAATTGTGGTCAGTTTGCTGGGGCAGCACCATCCCACGTTGGGATGTGACCCTGCACACGGGGAGTAGGCACCAAGCTGACCCCAAGGACACGGCAGCACAGGGGATAGAGCCATATTTTGGGCAGCTGCTGGATCCATAACGTCACAGAGCAGCACGGCTCCAGCGATGCCATCACCTGGAAACCACCCAAACCCCGCGCTCTGGTGACTTTTCTTCAGAGGGGGAGCCGCCGCCGATGCTCTTCACAGGAGAAGGTGCCTTGGGCTGAATTTCCTGGCCCTGGTCCAGCCCCTGTCATTAAATCCTTGCTGTTTAAATTTCCCGTGATGTTCCAGCTCAGTCAGGGAGTCGGTGCATCCCCTCCCCATGCCCCTCAGCATCCCACACTCACCGTGCGTGTGGAGAAGAGCTGGGGAGATGCAGGAGGACGGAGCAGGACAGGATGGCTGGGATGAATTTAGGGAGCTACGGGAAGAGGGGGGGTCAGGGCTGCTCAGCATCACCCCCCCTGCCCAGCTCTGCAGAGAGCAGCAATTTGGGGGTGCTGCTGAGATGGGGCAGGAGGTGGAGTTCAATGGTTCACTGCAAATTGGGGACACAGTTTGGGAATCCTGTCCAAAAAAAAACCCCAAACCAACCACCTAAAATAAAAGGTGCTTGTATAATGAGTGGAGACCAGTGAGGAGTGGGGTTCCCCAGGGATCAGTGCTGTTCAACATCTCTGTTGGTGACAGGGACAGTGGGATCGAGTGCACCCTCAGCAAGTTTGCTGATGACACCGTTTGACACGCAGGAGGGAAGGGATGCTGGAGGGATTCTGCCCCTCTGCTCCCCTCTGGGGAGACCCCCCCCCAGTGCTGCCTCCAGCTCTGGGGCCACCAACACCAGAAGGACATGGAGCTGTTGGAGTGGGGCCAGAAGAGGCCCCAGAGATGCTGGGAGGGCTGGAGCCCCTCTGCTGGGAGCGGGGGGCTGAGAGAGTTGGGGGGGTTCAGCCTGGAGAAGAGAAGGCTCCGGGGAGACCTTCAAGCCCCTTCCAGTCCCTCAAGGGGCTCCAGGAGAGATGGGGAGGGACTCTGGATCAGGGAGGGGAGCCATAGGAGGAGGATTTTAAACTGAAAGAGGGGAGATTGAGATGACATCTCGGGAGAAAATCCTTTGGTGTGAGGGTGGTGAGAGCCTGGCCCAGGTTGCCCAGAGAAGCTGTGGCTGCCCCATCCCTGGAGGGGTTCAAGGCCAGGTTGGAGGGGGCTTGGAGCAACCTGGTGTGGTGGGAGGTGTCCCTGCCCAGGGCAGGGTGTGGGACTGGGTGGGTTTAAGGTCCCTTCCAACCCAAACCATTCTATCATTCTATGAATGAAAGAAATCCCTGGTGCCCAGGAGAGTGCCACTGCTTCCCGACCCACGCAGGGCAGCAGCAGCCAAAAAAACCCCAAAGCAAAGGCAGCACCTGGGAGCCCCGAGGGAACCCTTGGGGTGAGCAGGACCATGTCAGACCTCTTCGTGGCACCAGCAGAGCCAGGATTTCACTTGGGAGACTGCCCCTGAAATCAGCACCCCTGGAAAAGAAAGTAGAAGACATTTATTCACTATTTTCATTTTATCATCATTAATACTGTTGCATAGCAACGCTCATGAAAGACACTCACAGGTCTGTGGGATGCCCCAGAATTTAAGAAGAATTTAAACAAGCACTAACCTAGAAATTAGGAACGTTTCGAAGCCATCCTCCTATTTTCTGAGGTTTTTTGGCCTCTTTGCTGGTCAGGGATCCTCAAAGCACCACGTTGCACAGCTCTGTGCCATAGCTGCACTGTGCAGCTCTCCCAGCTACATTAGTTGGTGGGGATTTTTTTCCTTGGAGTATGTAAATAAATATCAATATTCTAAACCAAAGACCTCCCAGTAACTAAATATTATTTATCTTAAATCCATCTTAAAACTAAACAGCTTTGTCACATATGTATAATAATAAAGAAACAAATTACAAAGGAGGAATTTGATTTTATTGGTTTTATTCAAAGCGCACGCATTGTATATCAATTTCCAACAACAGAGTTTTTCCACTTCATCGGAGACACTGTCAAAACTTTGGGCGAAGCTCGTTTCATTTCCCCACCAGTAACAGGAGACTTCACAGCCTGGTTGTTTGTTTTAGTTCTGTTTCATTCCTCACAACAGCGACCGTTTTCAAACCATATCGGGGAAATCCGCCGCTTCGCTGGGGAAGGACGCGTGGAAGCAGGGAACGTTTTGAGCACGTAGTCTGAATTTGGGGTTTTTTGGTTTTTTTTTTAGATATTAACTCCATATCCCGAGTAGGGCGACTGACAATAAACCCCAACATCTCTCCCATCTCGCTTCCTGCGACCAATTAGCACATGACAAGGCACTCGCTAAGGATTAGCAAAAAAATACCTTTCTTATTTTATCCCCTCGCGGGGCAACTCGTGGCATTTTGCATCCCGAATATCCCAGAGACCACACACCTCGCATGTAGCCCCCGATATAGAATTTTTTTTTTTTTTTTTTTTTTTTTTGGCACTGGAGCCATCTCACTTCTCGGTAGCCGGTGGCTGCGCCGCCGGTGTCATTCCAGCAATGCGCCCCGGCATTTCGGAGGTGTCAATCTCCTGGGAGCTTGGCAGCGGGGCATGACAGTGCACGCTGGGGACACTCCAGCAGCGGGGACTTGTGGAGCCAGAGGCCCTTCTGCAAGCCTTAAGCAGGTTGGGAAAAAAAAAAAATAAATAAAAAAAATCTCTCTGCCGGCGGTGGAAACCTGTCTCGGGGAAGGATCATCGGATTAAAAAAAAATAAAAAAAAACCCCAAAGACTTTTGCAAACGGCGGAAGAAATTATTTTAAGCCTCGTCAGTGGGATCTGCAACTCTTGGAACAATGTTCGCAATGAGTAATTGCAGATACCAAAAAAAAAAAAAAAAAAAAAATAGGGGGAGCAAAGCTTTGGCCGAGCCCAGTTTAGCAAAAATCCTTCTAATGCC